CCTCCAGTAGTTTCAATAGCACTCTGTGTGCATTTACACGGAAGAATCAATGCAGTCTGACACCACTTTAGCTGCCATGGCTATGGAATCATGGAAGTTGTTGTTTTACAAGGTCTTTAGTCATCTCTGCCAAAAAGTGCTGGTTTCTCACCAAACTACAACTCGCAGGATTCCATAGCATTCATCCATAGAAGTTAAAGTGGTGTCAAACTGCATTAATAGATGCAAACTCTGATGAGATTCAGATACCTCAACCAATGCTCATGGCTGATGAAACTAGTAGACTATTGACAACACAGACTATCAGTTTACCTGCCACTATTGGAATTGGATCTGAAGCTGTGTCTGGAATGCTGGTCACATACCCAAAGCATCTGAAATGGGAATCTGTTGTTGCAGAATATTGTGATATGAACCGGTATGTAAATCATAAGCTCCACAAATCAGTCTGTTACCAGATCTCTCTCCATAGCCCCAAGTTTATTGCCAACTTACTTCCCTGGGCATAGGACTCTCCCGTCAGCGGGACCCATTTTGGGCATGACTGCCTTTGCAAAACCAAAACAATGGATGTTTTCTATTTAGTCTTTTTTTTCTTTTTTTGCTGATTTACCCCTTCCTCTTTTTACTTCTATAGATACCGTATGTGTAGCATTCTACAGGCATGCTGGGTAAAAAAAATATACTATGCAAATGTGTACAGTGTTGCATGTTTTGCTATCTCTCTGCTTTTAGTGGCTTTCAAGGAAAACAAAAGTGATGTTATTTTTGTGAGCCCAAAACATCTAACAGAAGAAAATGCAGACTGCATGCTTACAGTATCCTGATTTCTATGGATTTGTTTTATGGAATTTAGATGTATTAAAACTGCATTACCAACATTTTTCTACAATAAAGAAAACAAAACATCTACTCTGTCTCCATAACTCTTGAATTTCTATGACTGATGTAACAATCACTGAAAAATATGAATAATTTTTTTTTTGCATGTCAGGAGCGACTTGAGAAACTGCAAGTCGCTTCTGGTGTGAGACAATTGGCCATCCGCAAGGATGTAGCCCGGTGGACGCCTCGATGTTTTGATATTTTACTATCCTTGTAGCAGGCTTCTTTCATGTCCCCACATGGAGAGCTAGAACTGACAGAAGGAGCTCATCTGCACTCCCCCCGGATTCAAACCTCCGACCTATCAGTCTTTAGTCCTGCCGGCACTAAAGATACATTTCAACATCACAGCCATTCTAAAAGTAGCAATTTTTTTGTTAGAATTCATGATTGTACAGAACTCTTTTGCAAACTGTAAAAGCAATAATTTTCATTTGCAATCTAAGTTTATTTATTTATTTATTCTATTTGTATCCTGCCTTTCTCTACCCCAAAGGGGACTCATGGCTGCTTTACATATGGCAACAGTTCAATGGCTTTGGACAACAAACAGAATACACTTAAAAATTAAAATTAAATGCACAAACATATAAAACATTGCATTCACTGTTAAAATCATGCCATCCTCATTCATAATCCGGGGCCATTCCAATGATCAATTTCAAGGCTATTATTGCGCTATAGATTAATCTCAGGCTTGACCTCAGAGCCAGGTTTTCACTTTCCTTCTGAAGGCCAGGAGTGAGGGAACTGCTCTAATATCACTGGGACAGGAGTTCCACAGATCAATGACCACCACTGAGAAGGCCCTGTCTCTCATCCCCACCAGACGCGCCTGTGATGGAGGCGGGACCGAGAGCAGGGCCTCCCCAGACGAACTTAATCTCTGAGGTGGTTCATAGGAGGAGATACATTCAGTTATCACTCTACATAAAGGCAGTATAATATACATTTCTTTCAGACAGTAACTTTTAACTGTACTTAGGTCTCATCATACGCTGTAAGAAGAGCAGTGGTAGGATGATGGCCTTGGATGGCAATACCATCTTCCCACTGTTCAGTGGAACCCCCGGTGGCATAGTCGGTTAAACACTTGTGCCAGCAGGACTGAAAACCGACAGGTTGCAGGTTCGAATCTGGAAAAAAGCGCAGATGAGCTTCCTCTATCAGCTCCAGCTCCTCATGTGGAGACATGAGAGAAGCCTCCCACAAGGATGGTAACACATCAAAAAACATCCAGGCGTCCCCTGGGCACGTCCTTGCAGACGGCCAATTCTCTCACAGCAGAAGCAACTTGCAGTTTCTCAAGTTGCTCCTGACATAATAAAAAAATCTGTTCTGTGACAGAAGAAATCAACCGCTCATTATATTTATTCATTACACCTCTGCCCTTGACTGATTTTGGAACAGGGAAAAAAGTCACATCACATCACTTGAAATGGTTTGGGAAAGATCATGTAAAAGTCTGCCAGGCTCGAAGTTGAAGATCTAAGAAGCAGAAACACAGAGAGGCTTTGCTTATTTCCATAGTCATTGCACAAGTGCTCTGCCGTAATTCACAAACTGACAGCAAGAGGAACATTTTTCAGGGTGGTAATGCCTTCCGTATGTAATCTTCCCATGTTCCCCCATTTCTCAACTTTTCATTCCAGAGAAAATCAACCAAAGGAAGGAAAATGGACAGCTACATGGTGACCTTTCATTTGGTCGCAGTATGAGCTGTCTATCTGGAGTAATGCCAACGGGGATTACCCCGCTGGGAATTGAAATAATAAATACGAATGTGTGACTCATTGCAATGCAGATGAGGAAATTCCCTTTGTCACGGTGAAGATTTGAGAAGGGAAAAGCTGCATCTGGTGAAATGCTGCCTCCAGTCTAATCCTGAGTAAACATCCATGAGGCATGCCATAGAAAATCTGGCTGAGTCGGGACAATTAGAATCGCAATGGCTAGCAAACCTTCAGCTAGCAGTCAGAATCAAGACACAAAATGACAGCAGAGCTCTGAAATGACATGGGTATAGCAACAAATCACAATCTAATATCTTGCCTCATGCCGCCCACCATTCCTCCCTTTCCCACATCACAGACATTAATTCTCTGTCAATATGCTTAGTAGTGCATTATCCTCTATTCTATTATTTTATTGTATGAATAACTAACCTATATACATGCTGTTGAAGCCCCCAGTGGTGCAGTGGGTTAAACCGCTGAGCTGCTCAACCCGCTGACCAAAAGGTTGCAGGTACGAATTGGGAGAACTGTGTGAGCTCCAGCTTCTGCCAACCTAGCAGTTTGAAAATCTGCAAATGTGAGCAGTTCAATAGGTACTGCTCTGGTGGGAAGGTAACGGTGCTCCATGCAGTCACATGACCTTGGAGGTGTCTATGGACAATGCTGGCTCTTTGGCTTAGAAATGGAGATGAGCACCAACCCCCAGAGTTGGACATGACTGGACTTAATGTTACCTTTACCTATACATGCTGTTGCCCAGGTGTTGGAGGGGCTGCTGCTTCTTTCTCTTTCTCTCCCCTCGTGTCCCTTTCCTTTCCTTTCTTTTTCTCCTCATTCTTTCTTTTCCCCCTCCTTCCCTCTTTTCCTTTCCTTTCCCCCTCTTCTTTGTTTTTCCCTCCTTCCTCCCTTCCCCTCTCCTTCCTCCCTTCTCCAGTTTAGAGAGGGCCTACCTCACAATATCTCCATGGCAACAATGTCCTTTTTGTGGCTCTTTCCTTCCTCCCTCCCTCCTCCTCATACACACATCACCTTTCTTCCCCAGTGACATCACAGAGGGTCACTTCACCTAGCAACAGACTTGGTGGTACAGGCAAACAAACAAACAGGCAGAGAAGACTTTGACTATCTCTCTATCATCCCCATATCATTTATCCAAAATATCACTTCATCTATGTTGCTTTTTAAATTTGCTATTGCTTCTGAAGTGTAAATATATGATTGAACACTAAGGCTCCATCTACACTGGCCATTTAATGCTAGCTTCCCACAAAAAAGTGCAAAAGGAACCTTGTGTTGACTTCCTTATTAACCAATATTGGTTTCCTTAACTTCAAGGAGCCATTGTCTTTTGTCATACAAGCATGTTGATGTAGGTTTTTTGGGCTATATGACCATGTTCTAGAAGCATTCTCTCCTGATGTTTCGCTTGCATCTATGGCAAGCATCCTCAGAGGTTGTGATGCAGGCAAAACATCAGGAGAGAATGCTTCTAGAACATGGCCAAATAGCCCGAAAAACCTACAACAACCCAGCGATTCCAGCCATGAAAGCTTTCAACAATATGTTGTTTTCTACCAAGAGTTAGTCAAGTCAGCCATGTCAACAGTTAATCATTGTCACAGTTTTCATCAGCAACTTTTAATTGCAGTCCATGAATGTACCGTAATTTTGGAATCTTACAAGGTCCCTTATATAGCAATATTTCTTGCTGATGTTGTTCCAAAGTGGTAAATAAATGATAAGATGTTTTCCCAGCCAAAACATTCTGACTCAGATCCTGGACAGATGCTGACTCATCTTCTTAACAGATATTGGTTTTCTGAACTTCAAAGAGCCATTGCCTTTGGTAAGGTAAACATGTTGTTTCCCACCAAGAGTTCAACAGTTAGTCGTCTCTGTTTTCATCAGCAACTTTTAATGACAGCCCAAGAGACCTCACAACCTCTGAGGATGCCTGCCACAGATGTGGGCGAAACTTCAGGAGAGCATGCTTCCGGAACATGGCCGTACAGCCCGGAAAAGTCGCAGCCGCCCAACTTTCCCAATATTTTCTCATTTAGTTCTACCCAGCAACAGTTTCCTCCCATCAAAAAAGACGGCTTGGGTGACGTGACGACACTCGGTGGACTGAGCCTCTGAGTCCCTGTGGGCGGGGTTATGCTAATCAGGCACGCCTCCCCCTCTCCTCTCTAGGCCCCGCCCACTCCACCTGCCTCCTGGGAAAGGCGTCGAGTTGGACAAACTCCTGTGTTTTCCGGAGGGAGGGGCCCAAGAATGGCGAGATGAGGAAGCGCGCGCCGTAGCGGGGCAGGTGCGCACGCGCCGGCCGGCCGACCGTTCTTGACAGGCCTGGACGGTGTCCGCGAAGGCTCACTCTCTCTCTTTCCTGAGGCCTAAGGCGGCGAAGCTTGGAAAAGGGGCCTTCAAAGAAAGGAAGGAAGGGAGGGAGGAAAGGAGGAGGACAAGGCAGAGGAGTTGCGGCAAGGCCGGCGGCAATGTCCGTAAGGGACAGCCAGGGGCGCGCGGTGGCGTTGCTGAGGGCCCTGACCACGACCGCTGCCTCGGGGCCGCGGGGCCTACACCGAGTGCCTTCCCCGGCGGCGCCTCCTCTCCCCCTTCGCGGCTGGCCTTGGTTGCTGCGGGGCTGGGCCCGAGACTGAGCCGCCCTCGCCTGGGCCGAAGCCCCCGCTGCCTGAGCATGGGAATCCTCTTCACCCGCATATGGAGGCTGTTTAACCACCAGGGTGAGCAGGCAGGGAGGGAGGGAGGATGGGGTCGCCTGCCTATATGCCTGTGTGCGTGTGTACATATAAACATACACACACATATATACATACATTGTGTGTGGGGGCTACCACACAGCCCTATATGTCAGAATGTCAAGGCAGGAAATCCCACATTATCTGAGTGTGGACTCAACCCAGTTCAAAGCAGATATTGTGGGATTTTCTGCTTTGATATTCTGGGATATAGGGCTGTGTGGAAGGTCCAAGGTGTGTGTGTGTGTAAATGTCTTATGTGTGAATGCATTTTCTTTGTGGCTCTTCGTTACTGTGCCTGTGTCTATTGTAATTTTTACATTGCTATGTATCCATATGTTTTATGTAATTATGATGTTATTGTTTATTGTTCACATTTTCGGTTGTTTTTTGGTTTTTCTTTATTGTAATTGTTGTTTCGGGCTTGGCCTCATGTAAGCCGCTCCGAGTCCCCGTCGGGGAGATGGTGGCGGGGTATAAATAAAATTATTATTATTATTATTATTATTATTTCTTTTATTCCTCCCTTCCTCCCTCACACACCTCTCTCTTTTCTTCCTTTCTTCCCTTGCATTTCCCCCATACACATTGACCCCTCTTTTTTTCTATTCCTTCCGTTCTCTAATTCCCCCCCCATTCTTTTTCTTTCCCTCCTTTCTTCTCCCTTCTTTCCTTCCTTCCTTATTCTTTTTCTTTCCTCCTTACCCCCTCTCCCATTCCCTCTCTTCCCCTTCTCCCCCTCATACATATGTCACCTGGCACTGCAGCAGCCAATCTGCTCTGCTCCCTTTCTTTCCCCAATCATGTGACAGAGGGCCACTTCACTAAGGGCTTTTCCACACAGCCCTATATCCCAGAATATCAAGGCAGAAAATCCCAGCTAAATAAAATCGCACATTTTCTGCTTTGAACTGGAATATATGGCAGTGTGGACTCAGATAACCCAGTTCAAAGCAGATCAGAAGACATTTACTTAATGGAAGGAGAGCAATGACCAATCTCGATAAAATAATGAAAAGTAGAGACATCACATTGGCAACAAAGGTCTGCATAGTTAAAGCAATTGTATTCCCCGTAGTAACCTATGGATACGAGAGCTGGACCATAAGGAAGGCTGAGCGAAGGAAGATAGACTCTTTTGAACTGTGGTGTTGGAGGAAAATTCTGAGAGTGCCTTGGACCACAAGAAGATCAAACCAGTCCATACTCCAGGAAATAATGCCCAACTGCTCACTAGAGAGAAGGATATTAGAGACAAAGATGACGTCCTTTGGCCACATAATGAGAAAACAGGAAAACATGGAGAAAATGATGCTGGGAAAAACTGAAGGAAAAAGGAAGAGGGGCTGACTAAGGGCAAGATGTTATCCCTGAAGTGACTGGTTTGACCTTGAAGGAGCTGGGGGTGGCAACGGCTGACAGGAAGCTCTGGCGTGGGCTGGTCCATGAGGCCACAAAGAGTCAGAAGTGACTGAACAAACAAATAACAACAATAAAAATGGCTGTATGGAAGAGCCTCAAGGCCCCTTCCACACAGCTGAATAAAATCCCACATTTTCTTCTTTGAACTGGAATATATGGCAGTGTGGACTCAAATAACTCAGTTCAAATAAGATATTGTGGGTTTTTCTGCCTTGATATTTTGGGTTATATGGTTGTGTGGAGGGCTCTAAGCAAAGTGGATTCATTCTCTAGTGTGATGAAGTTGTAAGCACAAATTCATGTTCTGTTTCTAAGGAAATAGATTGGGATCTGTGGGAATAACGGGGTCATTCCAAAGGACCATGATGCAGCTGTCTTGAGATCACATTCAACAGGCCTGAATTTGGGGTGATACCTTGTTGTGTTCAGGATCTTGACCCCTATAGCAAAACAATGGGGGCATGAAATGAATCAGTAGGTTGCTTCCACAGTGATGGAGATATTTTTATTGTTAGCTTCTTTCGGTTCTGACTGTAAGTGAAAATGCAAAGTGGGCATATGTGTAAAGCAGAGAAGATAGTTTCATCCAAAAGATTACTATTTTTTTTAGCATGCACCCCCTGTACTCTGAGTTGACTAGCTGAATGGAGATAGCATTGACCTAATCAATTAGGGTGCTTGTAAAGAAGGTTGTTTAATGTTTAAAATATATCACCTCTGTGTTATATTATTATTATTATTATTATTATTATTATTATTATTATTATTATTATTATTATTACATCTGTGCAGTAGTGAGATACAAGAAGTGTCCAAGAATATAGAAAAGCATCAGTAAGCTGTATGTTTACTCAAGCTTATAATGTCAAAGGTTATTTAAAAGTTTGTGTAAACAAAGTCACTCATTCAAAATTCCTGGATAAACTTAACGTAGTTGAATAAGACGAGATGTCTTATGAAACTAGCTAAAGTACAGAGAGCAAGGAGTTGTGGCTACGATGAAAACACTGACGCAGTGTGCAGCTTTTAAGAAAAATTCTATGTTTGGCATAATAAAAAAAGTAATAATAAAATTCAATTTTTAATGCCTTGGTGCATACAATAGGAATATGCTCTATAGTTCTGATCACTGCACTATGAAGATATTGTGAAGTTGAAAGACATTTCAAAAAGGGCTGCTCAAATGATCAGCAGATGGTCTGACTTCAACTAGTGATTAATAAATTGGGGTGATTAGCTTGAATATAGTTGTGCAGCATGGCACTCAACTTGAGAATAAATGGATAGCCCCTTATTTTGGGAAAAACAAGTATTGCTTAGAAATGATGTCAGCATTTTATTATTTTTAATGGTATGTTTTAAATTGTTTCTGCGCTGTTGTAGTAATCTACAGTAGGCTCAAAGGTTGCCAGGTGCAGAACTTCCTTTGTGAACCTAATTATAGTTACTTGAAGAGCATTTTTCTGACCAGATCAATAATCTGCAGGACTGGGCATGAGAGGTCTCAGATAGTGGAATCATTTATTGGCAAGATTTGAAGTTTATACTGGCACTTCCCAGCTCCATGTTTCATCTTTAATATTCTCAGAAAGAGGCTTGTCATGTGCATTTAGTTTGAGCTCTGCTATTTGAGCGTCACCTGAAACCAGTTTTGAGAGTTAAAGAGCAAACTCTCTTGTTTCTGTCTCATCAATTATAGAAAATATGTAACAGGATCTGGGCTGACATTGGCTGTGTGAGCAGGTACAAGTTCAGTTTATATCTGTATACTACTGCATAGACAGCATAACATTTTGTACTGAATCCCTCTTTGAATGTGAGAGGGTTGGTATATAAAACCTCGAAATAAATAAATAAATAAATACTGCAGATGGAGAAAGTTAGTTGAATCTGTTGAGACTCAGACACAAAGGTCCCATCTACACTGATCATTGAATGTAGTTTCAAACTGGTATTGAAGAAGGTGGTTTAGCCTTGCAGACAATTACATGGCAAATCCGGAACCAGTTTGAGGCCCAGATGGTGATTACATAAACCACAGCGCACTGATGTGCATTAAAGAGCTTTCTTTCACATGCTTTTGTGGGAGATTGTTGTTTGGCTGCTGCAGTTTGAAGCTAGCTTCGAACTACATTAAAAGGTTGTTGTAGATGGGGCCAAGGTGAACAAATTTTGGCAGTCAAGTGTGTCCCAAAAACCACATTTGAAATACAGTCAGCCCTCCACTTTTGCTGAGTTAGGGATTCAGTGCGCCACAAAGGTGAAAAGATCACCAATATCTTTAGGGACAGGCCACATGCTCATTTTGTCATTCACCTACCTGAGTGGAAGAAGGGAAGGAGATGGAATCGGGGAGTACGAGAAGGTCGGGCAAGTGATCATTGGCTCTCAAGGGTAGACAGAAGGAATTGGATGTCACTTTCTTTCCCTTTTTTTCTTCCATCCTTCCCATGAAAACCTATGACAACGGCATTAAGAAACCCCTTTACTAAATTGAAAAGCTGTATAACAGGGTATTGGTAAGAATATCTGATGTATTGGGCACTGATGTGCATTTTAAAAGAGGAAACTACATTGTGAGCACCATTTTTTAAAAAAAAAAAAATACGAGTTTTGCACATACAGGTATTTATTATTGGTTTCCATGCGATAAGCTGCCACAGGTCTCCAGCTCACATATTACCCCATATAGAGTGTGCACCAATGTGCAGCAGGGGTTGATAAGCATTGTGCACCAAGGTACATATGTTTACCAGTAACATAGCTGGATACAGACATTAAACAACTGGACAGTTCTAATTCCTGCCGATGTAAATCCACTTCAAAGATTCCAGACTGCTTTTTTTAATTTCCCTTCTCAAAAATATTATCAGACATATATTTGGGGCTTGTTGGTGACGTATCCTGAATCAGAAACTGAGCTATTTTTTTCACGTACTATGGAAATAACTGATCATTTGAAAGAAATGGAGATACTAACTGATCATTTGAAAGAAATGTACATACAATTATTTTGAGTATAGCATAGTTGTTTATATTTGCTTATGTCATTTTCATATACTTTTATCATGCAGTTGGCAGGATCCGGAACATAACAATTTTTAATAAACTAGAAGTTAAAAGGGGGGCATAGCTCTCAAATTGAATCAAAACTCTCTTCCCTTTTCTTAAAGGCAATTGAAATAGAAAATGGAAGACAATCCACAATACTTAACTTTGTGTCTTCGTTGTTTAGGCTATGGTTAGAGAGTATAGCCAGGATTTGAAATCATGATTTGATCCAGGCTTATTCTAAGTAATCAATCAAATCACAATTTTTTAAACTCAGATCTCACAAAGCAGCATAAATCAACTAAAATCTTCCACTTTCTATTTTAATTGTCTTTCAAAAAAAGGCAACATGTGATTTGTAGACCTGTGGCAGCTTATTGCATGGAAACCAATAATGAATTTCTTTATAAAAGCAAAATACATAGCCAACACCTTATGTGGTTTTAGAGAAACAGTGTTTTGCTGCTGGTCAGTACATTTATGTCAATACTAAGAATATAAAAAAGAGATTGAATATATTGCTAGCCCATTCACTTCTCACAGTTACTAAACAAATGCCCGAGGGAAGCCTACAAGGCAGACTTGAGGCAAAGCAACTTTATTGTCATGTTCTTCAGCAACTGATATAGTGCCTCTGGGAAGATTGTATATGTCTACAATATGTACAATAATTACTTTGTTTTGTTTACCAGAGCACTCACTGCTTCATACTCTCTTACACAGGACAGCCTTTGCCATTGAACTCCATTCCCCCATTTGGGAAAAATCCTTTTGGGACTCTAAAAATCAGAGTTAGAAAGTATCTTTGAGAGGGGCAACAAAGGCCTAATCTCCAGGCTCTACAAATATATTTTAGAATACAACTTAGTAGACAACCAAATAAAAACTGTTATGTATTGTCGAAGGCTTTCATGGATGGAATCACTGGGTTGTTGTAGGTTTTTTCGGGCTATATGGCCATGTTCTAGAGGCTTCTAGAGGCTTCTAGAACATGGCCATATAGCCTGAAAAACCTACAACAACCCAAAAACTGTTATGATTACATAGGCCAAAGATTTAGCTAGAAACAATTTATTTGGAAGAATGGGAACATCTTTGGAAAAAAGGTTTTAGAGTTTTAGTGGCCGGCTCAATTAGAGAAAATATGTTTAAAATGTTTTACAGAACCTACATAATTCTAGAGTTCTTGGCTAAAATAGAGAACACAGGACATGGGGCTTGAAGGTGAAGGGATCTTTTTTCCACATGTGGTGGACCTGTAATATTGTTCAAGGATTCTGGAAGAAGGTGGTGAAACAAACAAACAATATGATTAACAAAAAGCTCAAGAAAAAAATGGAAATGTGCATATTAGGAATATTTAAAAGGTGTATTAGTGCAGGAGATGAAGAAATTTATCAATATTGCTTTGTTGCTGAGAGACTAATAATCCCCAAAACATGGAAGGGGCGGGGAAGAGTTAAAGGTTGGAAAGATAAATTAGTAGATTATATCCAAATGGCCAAACAGACAAATAGCAGCAGAGGAGGAAATAATGAAGAATTTGTTTTAAAAAAAATGGAGGTTGGCAATTGGGTATCTGGAAAAGAAGACAAGTAGATTTGAAGATTGCCATAAAAGGGATTTAATGAAAGAAGACTTGTGAGTAGTTGTGGGTTAGTTATGTGATCCATATTGAGGGGTGTTGGAGGTCATGGGGGTTAGGTTCACAGGTGTAGGATTAGAGGGACAATAAATATTAAGGTATAATAACTGTACAGTCAAGTTTGATTTCTCACCTGATTAACGAGCACTGACTGTACCATTCTGTAAACTTACTTGATTTTAGTATGTTTTTTCCTTTTTTTCTCCCCCCTTTCTCCCCCTTTTCCTGTTGTCTGCTTTGTTTTTTGTGTACACTATAAAACAATAAAATTATATATAGAGATGGGGGGGGGGAATCCTTTTGGTCTTCCCATGCTTCTTTTCTGTTTTGATTACCCATGAGTATTGATGTGTTTAGCAAACCAGATCACTTCATCCCTAACTTTAAATCATGTATATGCAAATGGATCACAACAATCATACGGCATCTATTTGGAGACTGCTCTGTTTCTATCCTTGCATTGACAAAAATACTTTAACTGTTTTTCTCATTGCTTTCTGTTCTTCAGTCAGTTAGTCATATCTAAGATAACAATTCCTCATATTTCATAACTTCTATGTTTAAACTTAGAAAACTTTGTTGCTGGACTTAATGAAACCCTTTTTGGAAGTACAGATAAACAACATCTGGATTTTTGTGTTTATCAACATTGCCAAAGGCTAGCGAGACAGATCATATCATTGCAGAAGCTACTTTGATTTTTCTTCATTAAGACCTGGTACTTTATATGCTTGAGAACTTTTATTTTTAACTCTTTCCACTAATTTAATTTATCTGCAACAGATATTAGGCTAATCAGAATGTGATTTCTGGATCTTCATCTTTTTTTGAAAAGGGATATTGCACTCTTTAGTCTTCTGACATATGTACTGATTTAAGGGACACTTTAAATATTTTTCTTAGGAAGATCAGCAATTACACATTTACATGCTGTAAGAACGCCAATATCTATTTGGAATTATCTATCTATCTATCTCTTCTTGTTATCTTTATTTGCCCAAGTTCCTCAAAATTATTTCTCAAAAGGTAAGACATATAGAGAGAATTCATTCAGCTTGTTGGCAATTTTATCACCAGTATACCCTTACTCTACTTTCCTTTTTCTGATGTATTTTTTAAAAAATGTTTTTCACCTTGCTGCTATTCTGTTAGAAGTGTGTTCTTCAAAATAATGGCTCTGTATCTTGCTGCCTGCTTCATATTTCTTGTGGAATTTAGGCAAGACTTGTATTTTCTGAAGGATTTTCTTTAATAACTTCCTTGATACTGCTTTTGAACTCAGCCGATGGCCTTGTGAACTTGGTGCTGAGCTTCTGTTATTATGTCTTTCTGTAACTTCCAAGTGTTTTGCAGAGAGCAGGCCTTCTTGTATAAGCTTTGCTTATCTTTCTCTTTCTACATTTGTGTGATAGCATTGGTGAGTAAGCTTAAGAAAGGCTCTGTTTTCAACCACTAACATAGTCAGCTAATTTTACTTATATTTAATGTTATTCATGGACACTGTATTCTGAATCTACCCCAACACAAGGCTATCTAGTGTGATAACTGCAGCCTTCATGTCAGTTAGGCTACAGTTCACATTTGTGCAAACCTACTGTCTTGTGTCTCTTGTGATTCTACTGTAAGTTGCACCATTGCAACTAGTGTTATTTTTTTGTAACTCAGATTTCTCTCTCTCTTATTTTTTCCTCTGAAATCTTCATTTTCTGTAATTATAGGGGAGCTATACCTCTAAGACAGGGATTTAACTGTATTATCTGCAAATCTCCCCGACTTTTTAGCCACTTTGACTGATCAACTTTGGCTTCAAGGGAAAAGCCGAAAACCAATTGCACTGAACATATACATATAATTTTGGTTTAGCAGACAGATAGCCATCCATGTGAAATTCAGGGGAACAGACTGGCTATCTATCTGCATAGTTTTTTTTTAAATGTCTTTGTTTACTTGAAGAACTGCCCTATATACTCATGCATAAGTCTAGAAATTTTTATTTAAAACATTAATCTGCAAAAACATGGGTCAGTGTGAGTAATGTACCTTAATGCTTATCAAAAAAGAAATCGCCCCAATCTCTGAGTAAACTGGCAAATGGCAAGAGCTTAGTCCATTGGGAGAACCTAAAAGAAGCAGTGAGTCTTTCTGCTGTGGTGCTATCTCTGGCTTTTTTTTACTGCATGGATGGGGAAATGGCAGGGCCAGTCATTGGTGGCTGCCCCCTGAGGTGGCATTGGGACTTGGCCCTTTCTACAGAATGATTCTCAGCTTATCCAAGAGTCGTATCAAACTCAGTAACTTTGACTCCAAAACTTCCGTCAACATATACACGAGTATATCTGGTAAGTTGATTTCAACCAGAAAGCTCAAGAAGTGATGGTCCTAGTTCTTTGCTATGTGTTGCAGAAATGCTTAAATCTCATTTGTGCTCACTGTTTATGCTGTGATTTTATCATTGTGAGTTTGTCACATGCTTGGTTGAGTGTTTTTAGATCTTACTAACTCTTTAGTTTTATAGCTTGTTCAAAGTAGCATCAAACCAAATAATAATGTCCTATGATAAAATGCCATTCCCTTTTGCCAAAGTATACGATTAAACAAATATCAGCTATGGAAGGAGGTGATAATCATTGTTCCCATGTGATGCTTACTTGGTTGGGTGATTTTTGGTTTTTGTTTCCCTTTTTTGAGAAGCTCAGTAATACAGTATCCCTTTGACTTCAACCTTTGAGAACATGATAAGCATATTTTATAAAATTCCTCTGAGTGACATTGTGTGATTAATAAAATGGGTGGCTAAGAACTGTAAAATAATGATAAAACCATTCCCAGGACTGGAGGGATTGGTTCTTCCCTAAACCTGTGAAGGGCCTCACTCAGGGCACTACACACCCAGTCGTGCTTCTACAGTGGCAACTTCCACATCATGCACATATCTTTTATCTTTAAACTAGGTGCATAGGTAATTTGTGAACACATGTAAAGCATGCAAAACTGTATATGCTCTGAGCAGTCTGATTTAAAGTGTCCCTCCCCCAATAGTGATTGGAGGGAGTAGAGAGCACACACCACACTTAGTGGGTTGTAACCTGTTGTAAAGAAAAATGACACAGAATATAGTTATTGTATTACTTAAAAGTATTGATAGTCTGCCTTTTTCATTTTTCAGAATCCACAATAAACAAAAATGATTGAAACTGTTATGCATAGGCCTCTTTATAATGACACATAGGATAAGTGTTTATTTAATTTTTCTTTGATCTGTTTTTCTCTCTCCAGAGCACAAAGTGATCATTGTTGGCCTTGATAATGCAGGAAAAACAACCATTCTTTATCAATTGTAAGTATACTATGTTATGAACAGGGGACTAGAATTATCTTTCTGAATCAGAGTTAACTACATGAACCTTGTTGTATTTCTGAGCAGTGGGCATGTTACCAGGGAAGCCATGAAGAAGACGATAATCCTATGAGCAAATGTTTCTCAGTGGTATAAACCTTTATACATGGGACTTGGCCGAGCTTGGAAATGTTGCATTTTGGACTACAAGTCTGAGAATCCTTCCCCAAAAGTCTTATCCCCTAATCTCTGGATTTTACATTAGCTGTGATCAATTATAGCTGTTGATGAAATTTTTCAGTAAGGATGTTTTTTATTTATTGTTGAAGACTTTCGTGGCCGGAATCACTGGGTTGTTGTAGGTTTTTCGGGCTACAACAACCCAAAGCATTCTCTCCTGACGTTTCACCTGCATCTATGGCAGGCATCCTCAGAGGTTGTGACCTCACAACCTCTGAGGATGCCTGCAATAGATGCAGGCGGAACGTCAGGAGAGAATGCTTCTAGAACATGGCCATACAGCCTGAAAAACCTACAACAACCCAATGTTTTTGATTTTTTTTTAAAAAAAATGAAGCTATGTAATTGTCATGTTGTGTTGTTAAGAATGTTCTTTCATGCCTTGCAGCTATTGTTGGTCCTCTCAATTACATACCCATTTGTGATGGAATAAGGGATAAAGCTGTACAGATATTCTTGTTTTCTTTCCTTGTTATAAAAACACTTTGCTTAAATATCTATATCTTTTGAATGTTTGCTACACTTACCTGCAACTTAGTAAGATCTGATTACTGAATGAATTACATTCTGTGCATAAGAAATATAAACATGGCTACTTAAAATACCTCGATGCACGTGATACAGTGTAGCCAAATACTGCTTCACAGACCCAGTTGCTACACAGATCTAATTGCTACCTGGTGGTCTTGTAACAGTCTGGAAATAGGATATAGTATTATGGGGAAATAATGTGTCTCTACTGTGAACTGTTAGCACTCAGTTGTGTGATTTTTACTAGTTGCTATAAGCAATCTATTTCTTGTAAGCCTTCCATTTTTTTTAAAGGCCTGGTAATGTTCATATTACAGAGAGCCAGAATTTGTGGTTAACAGAACTGCGAACTTTTCTGGTCCATATTTCAGATAGTATTTATAGGACCACATCCTTGAATTGCATATAGAAAAACAGCCAAAATAAGACAACATCTGGAGGGTTCAATGAATTTTCAGATATAACTATTACATACCAGCATTTCCACACAGCAGCAACATGATAAAATGAAGTTAGAGTGCTGTTTTTGTGTTGAAAATAATACAAGTGATATTTGGACCTCAGAACAATTGGGAATACAACTATGGCCAAATGCAGGGCAGTCCACTCCACGCTGCAGAATTCAGACCTGGTTATATTATGCAGATTCTCTCTATGCATGTGTGATTTCAATCTGCCCGTTGACTTATGGAAATTCCATGAATTTCATGGGGTAAGCAAGATTCAGAGGTGATTTTGCCAGTTTCTTCTTTTGAAATGGAGTACTTGGCATTCATTGATGGTTTTCCATCCAAATGCTGATTCTCCTTAACTTCCAAGATCAGACAGAATTTGAAGCGTTTTAGGTATTTAAGCCTTCACTATGCAGTTCCTATACTGTGAATTTTAGAAGTAATACTTGAGGTACACTGTTACTAGATTACTTCGTAAATTTTCAAGTTGTAAATTATAGTGAATACTTTCAATAAATGATGAGAGAAACAAAAATGCAATTCTTATGACTCCTTCCTCTTCTTTTGCAGTTCTATGAATGAAGTAGTTCATACCTCCCCAACTATAGGAAGCAACGTAGAGGAAATTGTAGTAAATAACACACGTTTTCTTATGTGGGATATTGGAGGCCAAGAATCTCTTCGATCTTCATGGAATACATATTATACAAACACAGAAGTAAGAATTGTGTTATTCGGTACTTATTGTTGCTGTAGGTGATCTCATATGAAAGTGGTATTATCGAGCCACTGCATTTTGCCTTAGTTATTGTTGTATCAGGTTATTACTGGAGCTTCAGAACTCATGTTAGACAATTGCCACTCCATCTTGCATCCAGATGCTGTTTTGCTTTACAATTACTGGTGCATTTTATTTTTTTTAAAAGATATACTGTATATACTTGAGTATAAGCCTAGTTTTTCAGCCCTTTTTTAGGCTGAAAAAGTTCCCCTCGGCTTATACTCAAGTCAAGGTTATTTATTACTTTAGTTTGTTATTAGTATCATTTTATTACATGAATTATTTTAATATATTAATTATTATTATTATTATATTTACATTATTTTACTCTACAGTATTATTATTTTATTACATTTATTATTATTATTATTATTATTATTATTATTATTATTATTATTATTATTTACTGCGCTTATATACCACAATTCTCAGCCCAGGGGCGACTCATTGCGGTGTACAACATAGAAAACAGGTGCAAAATACAAGACATAGTGTAAAAATAATCCATAATTCATCATTAGAAAAAAAAACATCCTAATAAAAACATCAACATTACTACAAAAGCCATTCCGTGTCATCTCATCGTCAATCCACAATCCGATATCATTTCAGTTGTTCCATTCCTATGGTCAATTTACCAATCATTGCACTTCTTGTTCAAATGCCTTCTTAAACTGCCAGGTCTTTAATTTCCTGCGGAATATCAACAGGGAGGGAGCTAGCCTGATGTCCACAGGAAGGGTGTTCCACAGCCGAGGCGCCACCACCGAGAAGGCCCTATCTCTCGTCCCCGCCAGCCGTGCCTGTGACGCAGGCGGAATCGAGAGCAGGGCCTCCCCGGAAGATCTCAAAGTCCTCGTGGGCTCATAGGCCGAGAGGCGGTCAGTTAGGTATCTTGGGCCGGAACCATTTAGGGCTTTATAGGCCAGTGCTCTATTATTAGTATTATTATCTATTTACTCTTATTACATTTATTATTTTACTTTATTTTTATTGTTACTGCATTTATAATTTTACTCTGTTATTACTGTTATTACATTTTCATTATTTTACTCTATTATTATTATTATTATTATTATTATTATTATTATCCTGACACAAAAACACAGTATGACACAGCAAATGAGGTATATATACTGGATTTCATTATTATTATTATTATTATTAATATTAATATTTTATTATTGGAGGGATACATAAGTACATTTACACTGAAGAATAATGATTTAATCAGAGCTGGACAGTCTTATCTTAAATTACAGTTTTATGTAAATATTCAAAAACATTTAACTACTGATGCCTCAATTAATGTAATTTTATTGATATCTATTTTTATTTTGAAATTTACCAGTAACTGCTATATTTCCCACCTTTGGCTTATACTCGAGTCAATAAGTTTTCCCAGTTTTTTGTGGTAAAATTAGGTGCCTCGGCTTATATTCGGGTCGGCTTATACTCGGGTATATACGGTAATCACTACTTTATAGAAATGTGACTTGTTTACTGAGTCATCAGATCAGAGTTGGTAGATGATGATCACTAAAGCATCTAGTGAATCATTTATACCCCTTCCACACAGCTGAATAAAATCTTAAAAATTCTGCTTTGAACTGGACTGAATGGCAGTGTGGACTCAGATAACCCAGTTCAAAGCAGATATTGTGGGATTTTTTGCCTTCATATTCTGGATTACATGACTTTGTGGAAGTGCCCTTAGTCTCTTCAGTCTACATACCTCTTCCTGTACCAGTGCTACCCAGTACAAGAAAATTGCTCCAAACCCATCTACATGTAACACCCATCTTTCTGAATGTTATCAGTTGATTAGTTATTACCTGGATCTCTGCTGCTTCCAGGCATGAATCCAGGTTGTGCATGACTACAGACAGCTCGTCTATAACAGAGAGAGCTGAGTGAAGAGTCTGGAATATCAGTCTTCAAAGGGACCTTGTAGCACCTTAGTAACTTAGAGAATGAAGTTTTTAAGATAAGCTTTCATAAATGTAGGGTGCATCTATATGAGGAATGGGCAAACTTCAGCCCTCCAGGTTGTTTGGACTTCAATTCCCAGAAATCTCAGCCAACTTACTGGCTGTTAGGAATGGTGGGAGTCCAAGTCCAAAACACTTGGAAGGCTGAAGTTTGCCCATGTCTGATCTATACCATAGATATTATGCAGTTTGACATCACTTTAACTGCCTTTGCTTAGTGCTATAAATTTATGAGGGTTTTTATATGGTGAGGCACCAGCACTCCGCCAAGGAAGGCTGAAGACCTTGTCAAACTACAAGTTTCATGATACTTTATCACTGAGCCACGGCAGTGAAAGCAATGTGAAACTGCATCAGTGTAGATGCACTCTTAGCCTGAAGATCTTGAAGAAATAAACTCAGTCTGCAAAAGCTTTCACTTTACTACAGTAGCTTTAACACTGAAAAAATGCCAACCTATCATTGTTTAAAACCGACTTTTTATTGGGGAAAATTGCAATAAACATAAACATAATAATGTATTTGTGTTTTGTCCTTGATATGTGATCATTTCCTTTAATATTTTTTCCCTCTAGTTTGTGATAGTTGTTGTGGATAGCACAGACAGAGAGAGAATTTCTGTAACTAAAGAAGAACTTTATAAAATGTTAGCACATGAGGTGAGTAATGGTTGGGAGTTCTTCGCCAAGTTTATTTTTAAAAAATTATCCTTGGTTTGATTATAAAGTTCTGTGTCTACTTGCAGTTTCTGCTCCTGCGCAGTAAGCTTTCTGGATAGTGAATTTTCCTCTAACAGCTGAGAAGTTTATAAATTTGATAAATGCCCTTAGGTTTTTGAATGTTTTTAACATGACTGAAAGGCTTTTAAAGATTCTCAGAAGTTACTCTGTAATTTAGACGTTTTGTGAATTATTGTAATTGTAGAAATGTTTTGTATAGCTTGAAGAATTTCAGTTGTTAGGTTAAGTTTTATTTAAAAGGGCATGTCACTTTCAAGGAGCCAGAATAGCAACAGGCTTGCCTACAGCCTCTGTGTATGTGTTTGAAGTTCATCTTCAAGGGATCATACGTTCCCCATCACTGCTTCACAATTTTCACCTTGCACAGTTTGGTTGTTTAACAGAATTTGGAATTGTTTTAAGTCTTGAATTTTCACTGTGTCTTTGGAATTACAAAAGGATGCAGAGAAAAAGACACGCTTGTCTTGTAATCAGAAGACAAACTAGACCATGATAAACATTTCTTACTTTTAACGATCTAGGACTTGAAGAAAGCGGGTTTGCTCATTTTTGCTAACAAGCAGGATGTTAAAGACTGCATGACTGTAGCTGAAATTTCTCAATTTCTGAAGCTAACTTCAGTTAAAGATCACCAGTGGCACATCCAAGCATGCTGTGCTCTTACTGGAGAAGGGTAAGTAACTTTTGAATTGTGAAGTTCTTGTGGGTTTTTTCGGGCTATATGGCCATGTTCTAGAGGCATTTCTCCTGACGTTTCACCTGCATCTATGGCAAGCATCCTCAGAGGTGAGGTCTGTTTGGTAACTGGGGAAAGGGTTTTATATATCTGTGGAATGACCAGGGTGAGACAAAGGACTTTTGTCAGTTGGGCTACGTGTGAATATTTCAACTGACCACTTTGATTAGCATACAATGGGCTGACTGTGCCTGGAGCAAACTCTTCTTGAAAGGTAATTAGATGTCCCTGCCTGTTTCCTCTCTGTTGTTTTTGCTGTTGCAATTTTAGAATTTTTTAATACTGGTAGCCTCTAGAACATGGCCATAAGAACTTAGTGATTCCAGCCATGAAAGCCTTCGACAATACTTTCGAATTGTGGTTTTCTATTTATTGAATCATACATTAAAATTAAATTGTATATCCTTTTTGGAAAAGAGCTAGTATTTTTTGTTAGCCAGCTGGATACTTCTTACACTATTTTTTAATCTCACTTCCATACAAACGGGAAACTTTCCAGGGCTTCACTGTTTATCCAATTGTCTCTACAGTCTTGTAGGTTTCACACTTAGTGTTTTGATTATTCACAAGTTTGTGCCCAAAAAGTTGGAGCTGCCATATGAACATTCATTACTAATAGCAAATTTACTGTATTAAAACGATAGCACAAGGCATTTCATCACCATCATGTAAATCACCAGAAAATAGAGAATTTGATCAACACTTCAGAACAACTTTCCTAAATTCTCATGGAAGTAAATATGTAACAAACTATGGATTTAATGTAAGTTTTTCTTTTGAAATCGGAATTGGTAGACATTAGGTTAGAAAAGAATTACAATCTCCACAATGATGCCCTCCTCTTAATAAAATTTGCAATAGCGTATGTCTGCCTTACATCATCATAATTAATTAGCAGGATACTATCCTATATTTTTGATTATTTGCTCTGGTAATTTCTGTGAATTGAAACTCCGATGATAAATTTTGGAATCAAAATTATGATGAAATAAACAAAGCCTTGTATTAAAATTATTTGGAGAAGTGATTGCCCAGGAACATATGTGTTTATTGGATTTACTACACTGGTGGTGGACCTAGTAATTATTTTCTCTGTTGCTCCAAAGACTGATGGGATCTTCAGGAGCTTCACAGTAACCTATCAGAAAACATAAATCCTGCTGGGAGAGATACTATTCTTTGTGCCTAAAGTTAATCCTTGGATTTCTGCCTGAGTTGCAACCAAATAATAACGGGCTAAGATACAATTATTCCCCTGTATCAAATATATATATATTTATATATAAACTTTCCAAAGTTGTTTAGTTGATTGTGGGATTCTAGCAAGTGTAATCAAAATTCTGTTCTCCTTCGGGCATTTTGTAATTCCATATTTTTAATTTGCATAATTATAATCGTATAATTTCCATATACCCTAAAAGTATTTGAGTTTTTCTTCATATTTTACTTAAAAATTTGAGGCAGATGCTGACTTACGTTAGGCACCTGTTGAGATAATGATTGGATGAGCAAGGGTTAAGGTCTTTCACATGTAATGTTGGTAAATAAAAGTATACTTTTCTAATTTAAACATTTATTTTACAGATTGTGCCAAGGTCTAGAATGGATGATGTCAAGACTTAAGATCAGATGATTCTTACTCTGCACAGACATTGCACAAAAGTGCTGGATGTTTCCTCATCTTGACAGCTGTGAATCAATGGCCTACGTGTATTTATAAAACCGAAACTGAAGCTTACTTCTTTTGCTACTTTTAACACACTAAAGCTTCCTCCTTTGGAGACAAAATGGTTAGAAGTTTGAACTTGGCTTCCCAACGCTTCCTTTGAGGTGGAGTTTACATGCTTCGACTGACCTTAATTTTAAAGTGGAATTATTTCAGACTATTTAATAAATAATGAGAGATGAAAAACAAACAAAGAAAGGGGAGGGATTTTAACTTTTGCATTTTATTATTCCAATCTAACTCCAGTTGAAAATGTTGACTTTATTATTTCAGTAGATCAGAAAAGAAAAATCAGTGGCACAGGTATTGACTTTCCAGTATTGAAACTTTGATGTGATTCAGAAATGCAAAAATGTTCCTGTATGTGTTCTGTACATTTTGTATATTTATACCTCATGCTAATGTTCATTAACATCTGTACAGAGAGACAGTAAATATCACTAACTTTGCCAGCACTCTAGAGATCCACAAACAGGGATACTGCAGAATGTGGGTTCCTCTCCTGTTTTGCTCCTTTTACTTTACCTGTTGAATGTGCTTTGTATCGTCTGTCCAATAACAGAATATCATTCCCCTTGCGGCCCAACATTTGTCCCCAATTTGTTGGTGTTTTGTGTAACTTGGCAGCAAACTGTTTGGAAATGTTAGGAAGCAGAGTAATTCTACAGAATTCGGCTGAGATATCTCTTTCCTATTTTTCTCTAGTTTTCTAGACTATTCTCATGCCAACAGTGATGGTAAAATTGTTGAAGATTGTTTCTGTTTTCTGTCTGCAACTAAAAAGTAACTACAAAAAGACACAAGAGAGGATGGTGTGTTGACGGGTTTTACATGGCACAAAGTTGACATATAACTGTACCGAACCAGAAAATAAAAGAATATGAGTCAAGTGGGGAGCATATTGAAAGTTAACATTTAAATTGTGTCTGTTGAGAAATAAACTTCTAAAACATGGCAAGCAAAAAACAAACCAACAAAAAACTCTCTTCCCGTTTGTTTATACCCAGATCTTCCCATTTTAACAGTATGCTAAAATGTAACTTTATGAAGATCAAAAGTCCTCCACTCATATCCTACAGACGCAGACTAATTAGAAACTAGGATTTATATTCATGATCAGTTAAAACTATCAGAATTGTGGGATCCACACCAAACTAGTTTGATTCAGCTCTCACTTAAATCAATGTGGTTTTGAATTGTGAATCAAATCCATTTATTTCTTGTCAGACTGCAAAATTTAAATAACTCAATTAGTAACAGATAATTGTGGCAAACCACTTTTAAAACTTTGTTGTGTCCCCAAAACAGTGAAGTCTGAACCCACTTGATGCTGTTTATGTATTTGTTCTTTGAGTTGTTCCAAGGATGCTTCCATCCACATCAAAGTGCCCTGACTATTAAATAAATTAATGTTTTTTTCATTACCTTTGTGTAGCAGAAGTGGGCAATAATTTGAAAAGTTGCTTTAATATATTGCAGTACTGCTTATGTTAAAAGGGTATGATTCTTTGGAAAATAATACTATTACCGTGTCTGAACTCTGCCTATCACTCATCTTTTTTGATATTTAGAAGTTAGTCTATAATTTGCACCCAGTAAACTGGAAAAACTAAGTAACTCAGTTTAATCAAGATCATTAATTAAAGCTTGCACTTAAGTTAAAAAACACATGGTGGTGATTGGATCAAAATGCTTGAAAATAGAATGCATTTGACAGTTGTTAACTCTTGGAAACTGATGGAGTGGTATCACCATAGAGTGACTAGTGTCTACTTCATTCCCTATTTTTAAGAAGTAACTTATTAAATATGTGCACCGTTGTCAGTGGTACCAATAAACTGGTGGATCAATGTCTGATAAAATAAGTTTATAGGCTGGAATACAAAGAAATAGTTCAATGTGAAAGGCATATCTAGCCCAGACAAAATTTGTATTTACGTATCTGTGAACAGTTTACCTCTTTCCCAATGTAATATCTAAACTCGTTTTGAAACTCCTCTTAATCTCATCAGTCTGCCTTGGTTCAAAGATGACTGCTGGTGGAAGGGGAAAAAATCAAATCTAAAATTCCTTAGACCTGGCTGTGTGGTTGTGTGGATCCTGGATAAGATCTTTCTTTTATGGATGTAATCAAATAAATGCTTTCTTGAACATATATTGAAAATTTGTGGTTTTTGCCAGAACAAAATAAAAATATGCAAGATGTAACAAATATGCATATACTTTTGCAATGTATCAATATTTCCAAACTTATGCCATGTTTTCACAAATCCAATATCTTTATGTGTGTAATGGCAGGAATCGTGAGCATGATTTGCTCTGTAAAAAATCAACTGATTTTCATATTATTAAGATAAACATGTGGTCCTCCTGATTTTCTTATTACAACTCCCTTCACACTTAGATGAAAGTAGAGGGCTATCGTTGCCAGCCGTGTCATGCTTGCACCTCTTTCCAGTTGATGGGCAAACGTGTTAAAAGATAATGTGAGGAGAGGGATGAGAGCAATATAAGCCATCAGAGAGAAGGTTGATTTTCTATTTCAGAAGCTTCCAAGAAACAAAACATTTAAAAATACAAAGGCAATGGCTATAGATTCCCTGACTGACTCAACACTGACAACAGGAAAGGTATTTTTATACACATTTATGTACTTCCAATTAAAATGAGGCAACAATGACACGCAGTTCTTGCTTATCAGGGATTTAGAGGGAAACTTAACAAGATCCTTCCTTTACTCACTCCTAATTTATGGTAAGGTTACTGATCAACTATTTGGAGTTGTTGTGTATATCTTTTTGTCCCAAGCAGCCTTTGTTCAGAAAAACTGTTACGTGCATTAATTTTAAATGGCCTTGTTACTGCCCTTCCTCTGAAGTCTAGCTGGAGGGCTTTAGGTGTCGCTCTAGCACTGTGGGCAAAGCTTTCTTCGTAAAACTAGTACCTATAGAATAAATACTAATGGATGAAGAACAGCTGAACTACACACACTCAGATGCAAGAAAAATGTGCTACTATCTCTGTTGGTTGTGTGTAATACGAATAAGTGTAAGTGATATATACTTCTTTGTGCTTTGTTCTGCTTAGTGAAAGGGTAGTGTGCTCCAACTTTCTGGGGGTCATGTCATCGAGGAGAACCACGGGTAATAATGAGAATATTTACAGTTCCAACACATCTTTGGAATGTACCTTGGTTCACGTGAATGATAGGGCCCTAAAACTAGTTTGGAGAATATTGGGAAATTGAAAGTGAGCAGTTTTGAAATGTTGGCTGGTAGGGGAACTGACTTAAGTGTTAAATTTTTTTTACTTGCCCTTTCTGCTCTCTTGCTTTTGTGCCTATGTAATGCTTACTCAGTCTGTACATTTGTAAATAAACAGATTATTACAAAGAGGTTTAAGAGTAGTGCTCTATTCTCTTCATCCTATAAAACTATTTTTTACAATATTCTCTTTACAATATTCTCTGTTCGGTATTCTCTATTCTCTTCATCCTATAAAACTATTGTTTACAATACGCGGACCAAGTCAAATTAAAATTATATGAATTAGGTTGCTGGCTTTGTAAAGGTGCCTCCAGTGGAAATAAACATCAGAATTAGCATGTCTCAATGGGAATTCCCAAATGGGCATCACAATTGAAGGGAGATGTTGGCAAGCTAGAATGTGTTCAGAGGAGGGCAACTAAAATGATCAAGGGTCTGGAGAACAAGCCCTGTGAAGAGTGGCTTAAAGAGCTGGACATGTTTAGCCTTCAGAAGAGAAGGCTGAGAGGAGACATAATGGCCATGTATAAATATGGGAGGGGAAGTCATTGGGAGGAGGTAGCAAGCTTGTTTTCTGCTCTGGAGACTAGGACACAGAACAATGGCTTCAAACTACAGGAAAGGAGATTCCACCTGAACATTAGGAAGAACTTCCTGACTGTGACAGCTGTTTAGCAGTGGAACTCTCTGCCCTGGAGTGTGGTGGAGGCTCCTTCTTTGGAGGCTTTTAAGCAGAGGCTGAATGGCCATCTGTCAGGGGTGCTTTGAATGCGATTTTCCTGCTTCTTGGCAGAGGGTTGGACCTCTCCAGGGAAAGCACATGGAAGTTTGGAGAAAGTTTCTTGCGCACACACTAGCACACTCTTGACTTTTCCAGTAACATCCAAAAGATCCTTTGTTTTACAAATACTAGTGTACCGTTATTCCATTTGTTCAGTTCAAAACTATTTTTTTATTTAAAATATTTTCATGATATTTCCAGAACTTTTACATTATACGAAACACTCAGGCAATAGGAGTAGATAAAAGAAGGAAGAACTTGGTGGATTCACAATGCTTATTAAAAACCAGAGATAGAGTTAGGGTTCCACAGGCAAATAAAATCTCCTGAAGGGTTCCATGACTCTAAAAGTTTCAGAACTGTTGCTCTGGATCTTTGTGTTCTCTAATTTGCTTATTCCTTACTTTCTTGAAAAATACTCATCCACCAAACCATTTGTACTGATGCCAAGCTAAATACACCCATCTTTCCAAATTTTAAGCCAACATGTTTAATTGCTAGCTTTTGCAAATTGGTATTTCTAAAGGGAATGTCCTCGTGAATTCTTGAATTTTCATGTGATTAAACATTGACATGATGTCATAGAAGCCAAAGGCTAAAAGTAGCTACATCCGTAAATCTTTGAAGGTTTTGCTACCAGTTTTAGTTGTTGAAGATGAGTGTGCTCATTTTGTGAGGCTTTAACAAAAGTTACAGGGAAGCACAAGGGGCTGTAGTGGCGCAGCGGGTTAAACTGCTAAGCTGCAGAACTTGTTGATTGGAAGGTCGTGGTTCAAATCCACTGATGGGGTGAGCTCCCATAGTTAGCCCCAGCTTCTGCCAACTTAGCAGTTAGAAAACATGCAGATGTAAGTAGATACAAGGTAACCACACTCCATGTAGTCATGCTGGCCACATGACCTTGTAGGTGTCTATGGACAACGCCAGCTCTTTGGCTTGGAAATTGAGATGAGCACCAACCCCCAGAGTTGAACTCGACTAGGCATAATGTCAAGAGGAAACCTTTACCTTTACTTTATAGGGGAGCACATATTGTGGCAGTTAGAATACGTTTTCAGAAGTTGTGATATTTAGGATCTTTTTGCTACAGAGATTAAAACAGAGGTCACACACTTCCTAGTAAATGTGGGATGAGCTCACGAGATAAAATGAATATGCTGCGTAATGGGCAATACAGCAGGTGCCTTGTTGTTGATGCAGTTAAGCGCTTGAGTATGGAAACCTTTTGTGTTAACAGCCACAGCAGCTGTCTTGGCTTGCACTGTGAGTGACACTTTTGCTATAAATAATAATCATTTGGTTGTATAACGGTAAGGGAGAATGAGAAATGGTATTTAATTCACTGTAATGTTTTACAAAATCTGCAGACTGTTCAAAAGGAAAGTAAATATGATGCTCAGACTTCTGGAAACAGCCTATGGATTTCTTATGTGCTGCAAACAGTAGTGTTTGGGCTTTCATACACAATAGCAAAATACTTGCTTCTTCCTTGAATGTTGAACCTACCCTGGTGACCTGTTGCATACCTGGGAATTTTATTGTGTCTCTTGATAAAATGGAAGTTATGGTTTCCTGCTAGATGAACCTCATTCAAGCATGTTTCTAAAGATAGCCCAAACAGACCATATATTAGTTGGGTGAGGTCTGGAAATTTGTCCAATGTGCACATAACGGACAGGGATGGATGAAAGTAACGCTGCACAAACAGCAATGTTCCACTGTGACATTTTTCTTGTTGGAAGTCTAGGGATGTTAGATTGAGAACTGGAGAAAACATATTTTTAATGTGTGGAAGAAGGAACTTCAGCAGCTTTTGCTTGTGACAAGAACAAGCAACATGTGTTGAAATTCTCTCTTCTATGGGCCCTTCTTGACAGACTCTATACCCCAGGATTTGATCCCAGGTTTTCTGACAGTGCGGACTCATATAATCCAGTTTAAAGCAGAAAACCTGGGATCAGATCCTGGGATATAGGGCCTGTCTGGAAGGGCCCTACATAGTCATTAAAAGTAGAGGAACATTTGCTGGTTTTAATTTTGGCAATCCACATTGGCATTGTTGCTTTATGGATAAAGCAAAAAGAGACTCAATGCATATCAACAGAAGAGGGAGGAGAGGCTACAGCGGACTTGAGTCTGACTGCGGTCTACAACATTCATCAGCTGTTGTATTCCATATAATGAAAATATTTTGTTTACAATCCCTTGGGTTCACTCACAGTCCCTGGGCTAAAAACAAAATGATTACACACTCAACAAAAAGGTAGAGGAGATGGAAGTCAATACAACCTTCAAGAAATTCACAAAAACAAAACTACTAACTTCCGCCAAGGTAGACAAAACGGTGTTGCAGTGTGACAAGGGAGTTGTTGTGACAGTGTTTGCTTCTATATACTATGGTTGGATTTTTGATATCAGGAAGTTTTGGAAAATGGCATTTATAACCTTTTGGGAAAACACCTTTTGGAGATCATAACTTTTTAGAAAGGCATGACCTTTCAGCAAAGAGCCAAAAACCCTTTAAAGTAGAATTTTCTCTTGTGGTACACAACCAGAAAGATATCAGCTGGCCGCTCTGTGTATACAGGAATTTCATTAGGGCCTCTGGTTGCAGAATCCAGAAGATGTTTTCTATAGGGATGAGTATTTTTGCAGGTAATCAAACAAAACTGATATTTGGTCCAAACAGAAAGCAGACTGCAATAATATTATTGTCCCCTCGCTTGGGAAAGCCTTATAAGCCCATTTGTTTGCTAGAAGAAACATTCAACACTAACCTCAAATGTAAGCTGACTGATGAGCAAATGGCTTTAAAACTGAGGTGACTTGATATTGATGCCAGAAACAGCTCAAATACAAAGGCACGAATCCTTTGGCTGAATAGATGTGAAGATACAGGTAGCCATTTTGGTTCTTTGGGTGGAAAGAATTCAAAACCAATGATTATATAATGGCTATTTTTTGAACTTGGAGCCCCCAGTGGTGCAGTGGGTTAAAACACTGCGCTGCTGAACTTGCTGATTGAAAGGTTGCAGGTTCAAATCTGGGGAGCGGTGTGAGCTCCCGCTGTTAGCCCCAGCTTCTGCCACCCTAGCAGTTTGAAAACATGCAAATGTGAGTAGATCAATAGGTACTGTTCCGGCGGGAAGGTAACAGCGCTCCATGTAGTCATGCTGTCCACATGACCTTGAAGGTGTCTATGGACAATACTGGCACCAACCCCCAGAATTGGGCACAACTAGACTTAATGTCAGGGGAAAACCTTTCCCTTTATTGTGCAAAATAATTGTGCAAAATAATTGAAATCAATAGAAATTAATGGAAAGTGAATAAACCATATCTTTTCCTTGTCAGATTAGCGCTTGGGGCACTGTTTTGTGATTTCTTTTAAACTGTTTTGTTGCATGTTACTGTGATGGCTTCATTTGTAATTGTTGTAGTGATGTGCCTTAGCTGTCCTGACTGCAGTGTTTAAGAGAGAAAGTGAGATAATAAAAAAAAACATATTTCTTAGGATAAAACATACCTTTGACCTAACCATGCTTTGATAATGATTTTATGGAATTTCTGCCATATTTATCTAAAAACAGTAAAAATGTCTGGTGCCGTGCATATTTGTCTTGTATGAAGCAGCAGGATGTGTGTTTTGCTGTGAATATTGTAGCATGTGGCTAAAACTGGATTCATATATTTCCTTACATCAGTTTGGATTTTACGATTCTCCTATTCTATACAGTGTTACACAAATTTGATTCAGCCTGCAACATGTGAACAGAAGTGTAGCCTGCTATATGTCATGTCACTCGTAGAATCAGAGTTCTCTTAGACCGGAGATGTTCAAGTAAGTTTCCTCCTAATATCAGTTCCCCCTTATAATTAATGATATTAAATGCATTTAACTGTTTCTCAAAGGTGGAGATGTTCAAAACTTGGTAAGATTACCTTTTTAGTCGCCAACTTTCAAAACCCCTTATCCAACATGGCTACAGGATGGGGACTGTAGTTCAAAAAGTGACTTGTCCAAGCTCTGTAATTATTAAAAAACCTGCAAAAATGTATGTTTGGCTTTGAAGATTAGCTTGCTTTGTAATTAAATGCAAGTGCCTCCTACGTGTCGCTCGGAGGTCACTTTCTGCATGCCACAGCACAAAGCGAGCATGGAGCCTTCTGCTGCTATGCATGAGATGGCAGATAGCCCAGTTGCTAGCCAAGTGCTGATGATGCTGTCTTTTCCATAGACAGGGAAGTTCTGCACCTGGCCCCATCCGTTTGCTACTATAAAAAAAGACGAAGGAGTCATCCGAAGGCTCCCCTGCTGCCCATGCAATAATTATGAAGAAGCAGAATA